TGTGTCTTGTAGACAGTAAATGTTAAAATCTTTTTCCCTCAGGTACTTAAATACATCTTTCCTTTTGTTCCTATCCCCTAAACCCTGACAATTCGCCGAGACTATCCTAATTCCTTCCATATAGCAGTAATAAACAAATGTCTTGAAACCAATCGCCCTCCGCACCCAACAACGAAGAAGGAAAGAGAAAAGGATAAAGAGAAGGAGGAAAATAGAAAAATGACGCTAAAAGGAAGAAAGAGTAAAACATACCTAATCAGGTCAATACATTTAGCGAAACCACCATCAACACACGCACCATGCATGTAACAGGATGTAAACACACAAAACCGGAAGTACATACATCTCTTATAATTAGAATAGAAAGGAAACGAAACGGTATTTTTTCCGGAAATTAATATAAAAACATATAAATGTTGTCATAAAGTAAGGTTTGTTCACACATATTTCATTATTAGTTTTAAATGAACATATCACTTATAGCTGATCTAGAAATTAGCATCGTTTGTCAAATAGGACTCTGTCAAATTTGTCTCTCTGAATAGCCGCCTTTTCTTACCGTTTTTCAGTTTCACGAACATCCACACTCCACGAATGCTCTACACAGTCTAGTTTGTATGCTTGCGTAAGAGTTTGTTGATTTTGTCGCGTCAGATCCTCAAACACATGTCTGCCAGAATTCTTCAGTACTTTCCTAGCCTGCAGCACTTCAAACTTTTTCCTCCTGTTAGTGAATTTGCAAATAATCGCACGCGGTCTTCTGCTGACGAAAGGACCAAGTCTGTGTGCGATATCTATGTCCTCACTAAGAACTTTCACTTTCAGGTCTTCGTTCACAAACTTCACAACTTTCGTGACACACTCCTCCACATTTTCGTTTCTATCAATGTCCTCCAGTCCTAAAATTCTGATAGAGTTCTTTCTTCCTTGCTGCTCCAGGTCGTTGTGTAGATGATATAATTCATTCTGTCTCTCTTCTGTGTCGATCACTTGCTTTTCTAATTTCGATATTGTCTCTTTTAAATCTTCATTTTCTGTTTCCAAGTCAAACATTCGTCCTTCTAATCTTTCTACTATTTCTTTGTTTTCGTGTCTAATTTCCTCTTTGAGTTTGTTCATCTGGAACACCATATCCTCCCTTGTCATCAAAGTGAGAAGTGTCTTGTTTATTTGATCTAACTTGTCCTCCATCTCTGTAGTGTTACACGAAACATCACTCAATCTATTTTTCCCTTTAGCGCTGGCACTTGTACTGGTACTCCGAGATGACGGCATAGTCCACGGTGTATATTTTATAGTTCACTTGTACTTTTAGCTCGTGTTCAGGTACCCACAGGTGTATAGCTAGATTACCTATACGTCTTCAAAACGGGTATGTGTACGTGCGTTGACAGTGGTCACCACCTTGGTCACTCAAGCATATCGAGAACAGTCTTTGTTACGTGAAAAAACAAAACTTGTCTATTTCACTGTAAAACCATTCTACTTCTTACATCCAAAGCTCAGTATACGTTTCCTATTTTAAGACAAATGTCATATCCAAAGTTTTCACCGGAAAATTCTGTATAACATGCACAAAACGTAAGTTTTGTGGAGACCGATGTGAAGTACGACTGCTCAGGTCCTCGGTAACCTTGACCCCTTAACTTGTTCAAATATGTCCTATTGTATTACATGTGCAAAACCTAAGATAAAAGTTTGACCGAAAGTGGGTTGTTGTGGGTACCAGAAGGGGTAGGGTAAATCATAATTATAATTTACTTTTTTCAAAATAAGCTAAAATGTTGTAAAGCTTTATATTCTTATTTATGTAGTTGTTTCCCAATATTTTTTTTATATTTTTTAGTATAACTGGTCTTCTGAACCCCAGCCCCCCTCACTAACAATATTTAAAAATAAGCAAAATGAAGACAAATAGGAAATATTAATATCCATGTACCATTTCTGGAAATCAGAAGAATTACATTGAGAAAAAAATAAAATGTAAATAAATAAATAAAGTGTTAATAAATAAAATGTAAAATTACATTCAAAATTGAATTTAACTGTCCTGAATCTTCTAGAACTTAAAATGTAATTGGATATAGATAGGAGAATATGTTTATTTTCATTTTCATCACATCTCTCACAACCTTTTTCGAATGACTTTTCCTGTAGAATGTTTGTTTCCGGAGCAGCTGTTTGGCGTTTGTGATGATTGCAATGAAGATCATAATGCTATCACCTTATAAAGTGATATAATGGAATCATTACAGTGCTATCAAAGTCAGGTATTATAACGCTATAACTACAATCGTAACTTTGTGATATCACTAAAGTCATTATAATGATATCACCTTATAAAGTGATATAATAGAATCATTACAGTGCTATCAAAGTCAGGTATTATAACGCTATAACTACAATCGTAACTTTGTGATATCACTAAAGTCATTATAATGATATCAGTTGGGATTGGTGATATTTCTAATGATATCGCTTAAATTGATTAAGAAGTGAAACAGCGCCCGATACGGAACAGTAGGCTGTGTACCGCATAAGGATGAGTCAAATGCCACGTGACTGCTGACATCTTGTTCATTAAAGCATGCAGAAACTTATTCATTATAAACTAAAAAGAAAAATGAACTATCTATTTATGATCCACTGCATAAACATAATAATATCCTTTGGAAACTTTTTTTTCAGGCATGACAGCTTTGATAAACTATATCTGGCATACAATCCATACCTAGTGGACTTGTATGAAAATGTAAGAATGACTCAAAAACATAAATTTAATCTACAACTCTGAGTTAACAAATGCAGTTGGTCTAGTCCTGAGTCGAACCCTGGACCTCAGATTTCTGTACTTTTAAAAATTAATTGTATTTCTGCCACACCATACCACCAATCCCTTTTTGCCAATTTTCTGTTTGACCTTAACGATCCCTGTCCCACTGCACTGTGGGTTTCCGTATATAAAGTTCCTGTTTGACCTTACCGATCCCTGTCCCACTGCACTGTGGGTTTCTGTATATAGAGTTCCTGTTTTACCTTACCGATCCCTGTCCCACTGCACTGTGGGTTTCCGTATATAGAGTTCCTGTTTGACCTTAACGATCCCTGTCCCACTGCACTGTTAGTTTCCATATATAGAGTACCTGTTTGACCTTACCGATCCCTGTCCCATTGCACTGTGGGTTTCCGTATATAGAGTTCCTGTTTGACCTTACCGATCCCTGTCCCACTGCACTGTGGGTTTCCGTATATAGAGTTCCTGTTTGACCTTACCGATCCCTGTCCCACTGCACTGTGGGTTTCCGTATATAGAGTTCCTGTTTGACCTTACCGATCCCTGTCCCACTGCACTGTGGGTTTCCGTATATAGAGTTCCTGTTTGACCTTACCGATCCCTGTCCCACTGCACTGTGGGTTTCCGTATATAGAGTTCCTGTTTGACCTTACCGATCCCTGTCCCACTGCACTGTGGGTTTCCGTATATAGAGTTCCTGTTTGACCTTACCGATCCCTGTCCCACTGCACTGTGGGTTTCCGTATATAGAGTTCCTGTTTGACCTTACCGATCCCTGTCCCACTGCACTGTGGGTTTCCGTATATAGAGTTCCTGTTTGACCTTACCGATCCCTGTCCCACTGCACTGTGGGTTTCCGTATATAGAGTTCCTGTTTGACCTTACCGATCCCTGTCCCACTGCACTGTGGGTTTCCGTATATAGAGTTCCTGTTTGACCTTACCGATCCCTGTCCCACTGCACTGTGGGTTTCCGTATATAGAGTTCCTGTTTGACCTTACCGATCCCTGTCCCACTGCACTGTGGGTTTCCGTATATAAAGTTCCTGTTTGACCTGACCGATCCCTGTCCCACTGCACTGTGGGTTTCCGTTTATAGAGTTCCTGTTTGACCTTAACGATCCCTGTCCCACTGCACTGTGGGTTTCCGTATGTAGAGTTCCTGTTTAACCTTACCGATCCCTGTCCCACTGCACTGTGGGTTTCCGTATATAGAGTTCCGGTTTGACCTTAACGATCCCTGTCCCACTGCACTGTAGGTATCCGTATATAGAGTACCTGTTTGACCTTACCGATCCCTGTCCCACTGCACTGTGGGCTTCCGTATATAGAGTTATCTTCCTTTAGTGTTGTTAAGGGTATAGCTATAACACATTTGTGCCAGGAAACTTCCGGTAAGTAACATGGATTCTCAGAGCTGCATTGTATAAACTGACATTAAGCAAGTAACATAACATACTTGAATTTGAAATGTCCGGAAATTTAAATGCAATTTACTCCGTCCATATGCAAATCGACATTTTTCATTGATTATCCTTATAGGGAACCGCGATTCTTAGTTTCCCAAATACAAAATGTATTATTAAAGATTCACGACGGCGAAATTTACCATAATTAATCTCCTTGAAACAAAGGATCGTGTACCAAACAACAACATTAACACAACAGTTAAAGATATCGTTTAATAACTTTTTGAATACCAAAATTGCAAAAATACAAATTTTACTTTACCTCAGAAAAGGTCTTCACGAAAAAAATCATTGTTTCCTTACGATTACTAACTTTGGAGTTTGAGATTTATATTGAAGGTTGCAGGTTACCAGACTATTGTACTATTATTCGATTTTTACAATCTAGACACATTAGTCGCTGAGCCTAGCTTCATTATCGTGTTCCTAGCACCTGTCATTGTTTATCGGTTCAGTTATCATTGCTAATCGATGGCAACTGACATTTCTCATCAGAACGTTTGTTGTTAACAGAAATGTGTTTATGTGCGGTTGAACAAATCATCACCACTGCGTAACACAGTATTTCAGTATTTCTTTAATCAGTATGGAAGTAATTATTGTGACAAATCCACTTATCTTACTTATTTTGGCCAATACCAGTAGCCGTGGTATATGAGTTAACGCTACCGGTTATTTTAAGCAATGTTTATGCTGACGGGTTTGCGGAATGTTGATTAAGAAATACTAATCATAAAACACATACAACATTATTATTTGTCAATATCAAAATGGCACCGATATATCATAAACAACGATTGGTACATAACGCTGGTCTGGAACTATTATAAAGATTCGTTTTGTTCTTAGAAGAACTACAATACTGTCTATCAGATGTTACTGTTCACACGAAGGTAGTATAATGCAATTAATTATCCCAATACTTAAACGAACTTCAGAACAATTCATGAATAAAATATCGACAAATCCTGGCTCGATACCCGCCTTTAAGAATATTATGTATGACTTTGTCCTAACCGTCTGTAAATGTATATGTACTCTCATTTTCATTCGCTTTGGCTGCTTGTTTTCGTTTCCAATGTTTGACGTATTGTGAGAGTATCACAGTGGTTATAAAGAACAAAATAAGCAAAATGCTTTCTACAATAAGGACATAACAAAACCAGATTTTACCCGTACTCTCCATTACGGAAGCCAGCATGAACAGGTTTATAGAACTTCCACCCATAGCTCCTACAAAGAAAGCAGACGATATCCGACCAGACACACGTATAAATGTCTTATTGGTCCAGGAAATGATCAAAGGAAAAATGGCCGACTTGGCAAATCCCAGCAGAGGCGCTGATAGCCATACACCGACAGTCAAATGAAAATTGATGCTCAATAAAAGCAATATTAAGGAAACGAGTATAAGAATCATCTGTAAACCTATATATATTACGCTGTTTATACATTTGGTTAAAAACATACTCAATGTTCCCCCTAATACTACCATAATAAACAGTAGCGATGTTATCATAGATCCACTGGCCTTACTCCAGTGAAGAAATTCTACACAAAATGAAGATAAGTACGTGGAAAATGAAAAATCGATGGCATTGCTTATAGCCGCCATTATAACCATGAAAACGAGTCCAAGGAACTGAAGTTCCCTGGGGATATGTCCTCCAGACGTGTCTTTAACTTTCTGGGAAGGACGTGCAGCTCCTACTTTTGAATAATCGTTTACTGTTCCATTGGAAGGTTCTAGTACGTTTGAATGTTCCTGATTATTTGTATACCCCTGTCCACTTGAATGCCCATTGACCTTCTCGTTTAAATGTGTGGGGTCGTTAGAATGTTCTATTGTCATTTGTGTGGGGTCGTTAGAATGTTCTTTTGTCATTTGTGTGGGGTAGTTAGAATGTTCTATTGTCATTTGTGTGGGGTCGTTAGAATGTTCCATTGTCATTTGTGAATCATCATTGCTCCTTTTATTTCCCTTTTTGGTAAAATACAGAAATATAAACCACAGCGTGTGTAATACACAGAATACGGAGGAGATGGAGTAGGCTATGTATATTCTAGACACATTTTCGGATTCGTAATTTTCTGATGTATTGTTAGCTGAAGTTCGTTGATGAAAGTTTGTTGAATGTCGTAAAGAGTTGTTCATCCTATCTATTGTAGATATGGCGATCTGATCCGGTAAATCTGTAGTGATGTCCTCACTTTGGTCAGCGTTTCCCATCAGGAACGGAGCGATGATTAGGGGTGAAATGACACCACCTAGATTAAATATCACGTGTAGACCCACCAGAACAGTTTTACTTTTCGTTTTCCAAAGTCGAATGATTTCTGCATTTCCAGCTGCAAATACATAGACAAAAAACATAAATCTTCCTATTTGAAATCGATAACATCAAATTTTAACCCCGATCTATTCTCGATTTTATTTGGTTTCTCGGTTTTTTAGTTTGTTAATCAAAATGTTATCAAACAGGTTTCCACGATTCTTAGATCATTTTATACTGTTCGCCTAGTAATTATGATTTTTTTAAATTAAATATGGTTAAGTGAAGTATGTTCGACCACATACTTATGTGCTATAAGATATGTAACAGCTGTCAGCTAATCCACCAGGATAGAATTACATTACAATTTAGAATCAATCATAATTCGAAATGACATTTTATTTCATGAATCTGCGCTATCAGACACCTGCACATTTAAACACACGTCTGTAAAATCATACAAATGTTAGATGAACAATATTCCGTGTTATTAACAAAATTCTTTTAATTGAGAAACTATCATCAGAATATATTATAAGCAACACCATATACAGACCATTTGTAAATGATATAGGATAACGCTAGGGCCATTGCGCCTGATGCCGTGTAATAGACAACATTTGTTTTTTGTTGCCAATACCTTGGTCCTTACCCTAGGTTTACATGACAAGTGTCGACTATGAAGCAACATAATACACTTAACCTTCCGGAACACCTGGTCTTATTCCCCTTGTACTTTATAAAGTTTTCCCATGTGCATCTTTCCTTTGTTCATGTTTTGCCCAAGATGTCCCGATTTTGGGGTCGATTTACTGTTTTTATAATAGTTTGGTGATCTATCGTTGTTTGTTTGTTTCCCCAAAATACCTGCGTCTATGAGTCCGACCACCAGACCCATACCGGTGTGACTAGCTACCATAAGACTGTAGTGCGTGCACCAAGGGATGGCAGCCACAATGACGGTAAGACACACAGCACTGACAGAGAACAGAAGATTCCCGTTACAACGATTGTAGAGGAAGCCGTTGGCCAGGGCACCCAACGTGTAGCCAATGTACAAACTCGTCACTATCCACGCTCCCTCCTCCAGACCCACGTCACAAATACTCTGCAGGTCAATGAACGCAGGGCCGATCTGACCTTTGATCCCTCCCTGCCAAATAAAAAAAAGTCTTATATGATCAAGTTCCATAGCATGAAACAATATTACTGAAACCTACATCACTTGTTCAATAACACAGTACATGTTAACGAACGAATACCAGAGGATAGCTTATGGTTTCCAGTTGATTACTATTTGAATTCCATGGGTTTGGCAGCAAACCAATCTATTTCACGAGTGTTGAAATTATTAGCGTAAGATTTGACGCATGCTTTTTTTATAACGCCACGCTTGGAACCAAGACTGTGTTCAATTTTAAATGAAATTCGACGAAATTCCACATTTGTTGCTATTATTTAGTAAAATCTGTTTACAAAAATGTTATCGATTGGGTAGTTAAGTCAACATATTGTACATTGCAAAACTATACCAGATTAATCATTTTTATCAACATGTGAATAGAAAATCTGCCACTATGATTTGTAAAGTGATTAAAACTACCGTTCTGAATTGTCCATTCTAAAAGTGCTGTTCAGATCTGATCTTCACCATATTTATTATGTCTGATGTTTCAATGGCATAACAGTTTTAGAAATAATTTTATCTGGGAGAGCAGAATGTTTATACTGAAGATATTAGGTGCGGGTAAGCGGAAATGAGCAACCTCCCTAACAGTGTCGGTGTGCCAATTAATTTTACTGATAAATAATGCTACAGTCAAAGGGGAAATGAAGATAACCATCAAAGAGAGAAAACTTATAATCACTAAGACAATAAACATAACATAATTAGCAAATCCTTATCAACCTTAACACACTAAGCAATTCTACTACGTCTCGTGCTTTTGCAACGAATTGATTGGTCAATAGCAATGGATTATTGGACGACAAAACATGCTCGTGCTCCAATAATACACTCTTGTAATGTTTCCCGCCATTTTGTCTGCTTTTTATGCCTCTTCCTCCCCCC